AATGAATATGTTATTGGTCTTGTAAAATTCTACCATGCGAGTTCCAGCATTATTTCTGTCACTAAGGCCAAATTTTCCAACTATTGGTGATTCTTCTTTGTTTCCAACTTTTGCATTCCAGTCACCAGTGATAATTAAGACATCCTGATTGCATGTTTGGTCAATTTCAGACTGCCGAAGTTGATTTTAAAAATATTCATTTTCATCATCTGTGGACTTATAGTTGGTGCACAATTTTGAATAATAGTAACTGGTCTTCCTTGTAGGCATATGGATAGTATCCTATCACTGACAGCATTGTCCTTCAGGACAGATCTTGAAACATTCTTTGTGAGGATGAATGCCACACCATTCCTCTTCAAATTGTCATTCCCAGCATAGTAGATCATATGGTTGTCTGATTCAAAATGGGCCAAACCAGTCCATTTCAGCTCACTAATTCCTAGGATGTCAATCTTTATGCATTCCACTTCATTTGTGATAACTTCCAATTTTCCCAGATTCATACTTTGTACATTCCATGTTCTGATTTTTAATGGATGTTTACAAGTGTTTCTCCTCGATTTGAATTGTGCCATGTCAGCAAATGGAAGTCTTGAAAGTGTTACCTTATCCATATGAGTAAGGCTGGTTTTACTCTGATGATGCAGCTCTTTCCCAGTCATATTTTGGAGGCTTCTAACCTAAGTGACTCATCCTCCACCTCTGTATTGGACAATGTTTCCGGACTATTGATAAACTTGTGCAGTAATGTATCATACAGTGTTTCTCTGCTATTCACAAGGTTTTCCCTGGCCAATTCTTTGAGAAGTGGATGGCCTCTTCCTTCTTCCTAGTCTGTCTCGATCTGCAACCCATGCTGAAACCTGTGCAGCATGTGCACCCCGCTAGGTTTGAAACACCAGTGGAATAGCTTCAAGACTCACAGCAACACATCACCACAGTAGGACAAACATACAGACATTTGTCTCCCTTACCTGTTGGAAACCTCTCCACCTACCATTACCTGGATCCCTCTGCTGCCTCCTCACTCTGTCCCAGTCCACCCTGGCCTATTTCCTCTCCTCTCCCCTGCTTTCCTGCCCTGCTGCTTGTGGGATGTGGCCTCAGTCCTTCCCCTCACCTGGATCCCTGCGGCTGATTCCTCACTCTTTCCAGTTCCTTCTGGCCTTTTTGTCTCCTATCCCACACTTTCCCATCTTGGTTCTTGTGGGGCATGGCCTGGGTTCCCTTCCCTCACCTGGGTCCCTGCAGCACATCTTTTGCTGTTATTGTTATGTGCTGTTGAGTCAGACCTGACTCATAGAGACCCCTCCTTGGGTTTCCGAGGCAGTATCACTACAGAAGTAGATTGCCCAACCTTCATTCTGAGGAGTGGCTACCGGTAGGAACTGCCAGCCTTCTGGTTAGCAGCCAAGTGCCTTTGGCACTATGCTATCAGAGCTCCTGGCACATCTTTTAGAAGCTTCCAAATACTAATTACACTTTCCTAATTTACTGTGCACAAAAAAACCTGGATAATTCAAAAGAACTACACATACTTTCTAGACTGTCTTTAGTAAACACATGCTAGTTCTGCAAACAAGCAGACTGACAGGCCAAAATGTTCACTAAGCCTTAATGTGCCAGTGGTTGCTCACTAATGTGCACTGTCTTAATGTGCACTGAAAACTAAATGCATGCTAAAACATAAAATGTGCACTTTAAGGATAAAAATGAGCTCAAAATTCAATGTGCTTAGACTCTGGTTCTCCCAAGGAAGACTATCAGACCTCAGAATATTGCCTCACCAAATTTAATCTGGGGACTGGCTCATCAAAAACTTTTAGAGTTAACTGAAAACAAAAGTATAAAAAGAAACAAAGACAGACAGTCCAAAAATAAATCTTGAACTCAATGCAAGGAAGTTACGTTTGATTTAAGAGGCTCTCTACCAGAGATGATTCCTGGGAATCCAGGAAGGCAGAAGGGCACAAGAGGCCCAGGCCAGCACTAAAGTTATGTCCCATGGGATTGCTGAAGATTATGCACCTTAGAATCCCACATCATCTGACACCATAAAATGTCAAAGAGTAATGAATATGTACTCTATTAAAGTAAACGCAGAGATTTATTGAAAGTTTGAAAGGAGTCTGAACCAGGGAGACGCCTGATCTTATACAGTGAAACCAAATGCTACCCTGGAGTTGTTATTGCTGTTGTTGTTATGTGCCATCAAGTCAGATCTGACGCACAGCGACCCCTCCTTGGGTTGCCGAGGCAGCATCACTACGGAAGTAGATTGCCCAACCTTCTGAGGAGTGGCTGGTGGGTTTGAACCGCCAGCCTTCTGGTTAGCAGTCAAGTGCCTTAGGCACTATGCTACCAGAGCTCCTACCCTGGAGTAGAAAGGGTATATTTATACGGTAGAGTTAAGGACTAGCTGTGCAAATCTACGATTAGCGCTTGGTGAGGTAAGGCAGTCACAGGTTGGTATCTTGAAGCATGGAAATAAAGGAGATTGATCTGGAATACATATGTAGGTCACTGGGATTGGTTATACAAGATAATTGCCAAAGTAGAGGCTACAGATGTGTATAAGTGGTTACAGGATAACTGTAAACCATTCTTTCCCAAAGACATTCTCCTGAGGGAAATTGGCTCTGAACCTGTGTTATAAGCTTATGCACTTCAGCACTCTCACAGGAACATTCTTCCCTTATCCTTGGCTTAACTGCAGACTTTTTTTTTTTCTTCTTCTTAATTAGGCTTTTAACTCTGTACAAAGTTCACTGAATGTTGGAAAAGTTAGCAAACTTTAAGATGGAATCTGGAACCGGACCTAGACCAGCCATTTTAGTTGGGTTAAGTGACTCTGTTTTGGGGGCTCCTACACACAACTCACCAGAAAGGACACTATGAGACCAGCATTCCATGTAAATATCTTTTGCTGGGGAAGAATTTAGTCATTTAGCATTTAGAAAGTGCTGTTTCTTTATTTAGGAAACACTAGCTGTCACTCGATATATGGCTGAATTTTGTCTGAAATTCAACTCATTGTGTCAGGGGAAAAGCAGCATTTGACTGCCAACCAAAAAGTCAGTGGTTCAAATCTATCAGCCACTCCATGGAATAAAGATGAGGCAGTCTGCGTCCGTAAAGATGTATAGCCTTGGAAACCCTGTGGGTTAGTTGTACTTTGCCCTACAGGGTAGCTATGAATTGACTCAATGGCAGTGCACTTTCTCAGAGGAATGTTCTTTTCCTCAGTCTCAGGGGTTCCTTTTGAGTGCTTTTATTAGACTTTTCACTGGCAACTTGAAATTCAACATGGACAAAATCAACTCTAGAACTTTCCCCTAACCCAACCACAAATCTGTCCTACCAAAATTAAAATATATTAACTATTAATAATTAAAACTGGGTGGTGCCAGTGTTAAGAAGCAGATCAATGAAACAAAATGTATGCTCCAACATTAAAGCTGAAACACACTGGGATTAAGGAGTCCATGGTTTGAATACATCAGCTACTCTGTAGATTACAGCCTTGGAAATCCTATGGGGCAGTTCTACTTGTCCTATAGGGTCACTGTGATCAGAATCTGCTTGATGGCAATGGATTGTTTTGTTTGTTTTTTTAATACACTAGGATTAAGTCAAAGACAAAAGTGACATCTCAAATTAGGGTAATGAGTGTACAGCATGTAAACATGAGAATAGAAAAGACAAAGTTGGGATGCAGGACTTCATTGTCCCGATAGAAATCTTAAAAGTCCTTGAGGCAAACATCTGAAAATTCCCCATCACCTTGTCAATTACAATCTTAAACTCAATAATCAATAAACAGATGACTGTAAATTCAAACTCTATTTTTTAAAAAAACTTAATTAAGAGCTGGGTGTTAGTTACCATAATGGTAAACTTTAGTTATTCATTAAGCTATTAATTTTCCTGTGCAGTGCTTTATGTTTTAGTTTACAATAGAGCAAATGGAGGAAAGCCAAAACACCAACCAGGAGAAAAAAAAAAAAATTCTGTATTTCATTATGAACAAAGGACTAATTTCCCCAAAACATAAAGACCTCCTAGAAATTACTACAAAGATCACCAATCCAGTGGCCCACTCCTGTCACACTCCACACTCCATAAAACAAGGACACAGACTTCCAAAGAAAAATATTGTATATATTGTGTGTGTATTTATATATATATATATATATATATATACACACACACACACACACACATACATATACATTTATATACATATAAATATATATATGCAAAGAGGCAAGATCTCATTCTTGGTGAGGCAAAAGTCAGTGTTTTGAGGTTTTACCCAATTTCTTCCTAGATTCCCTTGAATATCTAAGTCAAATCATTTCCACCTCAAGGCTTAAAACCTGCCACGAATGCCCATCTACTCAGGTGTTTTTGATGGTTTGTTTACTTAGTTTCATATTGTCCTAATCTGTCAGCCATGTGTATTATTTTCCTCACTAGAACTGTTTCGAGGATCTGAAGCAACTTGAAATTGCCCAGAGAAAATCTGTCAATAGCACAGAAACACTGTATGATACATTACTGTGCATGACTGACTCCACGTCAACCTACTGGTTTCTTCTTTGCTGTTTCTTCAACAACCAGACACTTTTGCTCTAGTCGATCTTCCCTGTCATAGGTTTATATAATGTTTCACCCTATAACTAAACCATAGCTGATTTATCCATGAGGGTGTTTCTCTTTCTTCACTAATATAAACAGCATTACACCTGCCCCATTTCAGTATGTCTTATAAGAACACAGTCCTAGAAGTGGTTTCAAAGTAATGACTTTCAACATTAACCATATGCCTCTTCAGATTTTCAGACCTAACAAAATTGGAAACATAAAGACTAGAGGAATTTTAAGGAGGTGATATTAGCTGAGATGGAGTAGGGACAATCTGTAGAGGAAATAGGCCTGATATAAGGCAGCCTCATCTGAGAACAGCTGTGCTCTGTCCTGACCACGGATGCAAGTCAAGCAGCCCCAGGCTCCATCTGCCTGAGTTTCTCTTGAAGCCCTTGGAACTGACTTCGACCCCAGTTGATACGGATCTGGAGGCTGGCCATGTCTGCAGCCAGCTGTAGGCCTAGAGAAAAAAGAATGAATGTCAGCCTGGTGTCCCCCAACTCCGGATATATGTGCCCAGTTGTCCACTCAGCATCTTCACCTGGATGTCAGTGCATTGCACATTGACCACATCCAAATTCAATATTCAAAGTTCCTACCATAAATAAGGAGCTCTGGTAGCGTAGTGCTGAAGGCACTTGACTGCTAACCAGAAGGCTGGCAGTTCAAATCCACCAGCCACTCCTCGGAAGGAAGATGGGGCAATCTACTTCTGTAGTGAAACCCAAGGAGGGGTCACTATGAGTCGGGTCCTACTCGACGGCACATAACAACAACAACCATAAGTAAGGACTGCTCTATCCTTCAAGGCATTTCACAGGGAAACTGTGAGCTCATCCTCAACTGCTCTGTCTTACATCTATGTCTAATCTATAAGCAAATCCTGGGCTTCTACTCACAATACATGAGCAGGATCCCACAGGTTATTCCTACCTCCACTGACTCCAACCTCATCTCATACATGGCTGCTCCCAGGCACCTACTTTTGCCCTCTGCCTTCCACACTATTCCCACCTATTAGCCATAGGAATCCAATAATGCTGTCATCTACTCAAGAGCAGGAACTCTGGTGGCGTAGCACCTAAGGCATTTGACTGCTAACCAGAAGGCTGGCGGTTCAAACCCATCAGTCACTCCTTGGAAGGAAGGTGGTATCGCCTCGGAAATCCAAGAAGGGGTCACTATGAGTCAGATCCGACCCTAAGGGTCCCTAAGTCCTCACTAGGGCCTATACAACCTTCAAATCATCTAGATATGGACCTTCTCTGCTCTCAGCTTCTAGCACTCTACACGGCACTGATTCCACATCAACCTACTGGTTTCCTCTTTGCTGTTCCTTGAACAACCGGATACTTTTGCCCTAGTCAATCTCTCTGTCTGGAGCACTATTCCTCTAGTTAATCCACAGCTTTCTCCTTCACCTTCTCAAGGAGGCCTTCTCTAGTCCCTTGGCTCACTCCTGTCACACTCTACTCACCACACTGCCCTATTTTTCCCTTAACATTTGCCACTATCTGATTTTATATAAAGGGCCTACTTTCTGATCTGCAGGAACTCTGGTGGTATAGTGCCTCAGGCATTTCACCGCTAACCAGAAGGCTGGTGTTCAAACCCACCAACCACTTCTCAGAAGGAAGATTGGGCAATCTACTTCCATAGTGATGCTGCCTCGGAAAGCCAAGGAGGGGTCACTGTGAGTTGGATCCCACTCAACGCTAGTGAGTTTTTTTTTTTCCTTTCTGATCTGCACTTTACCATTTTCTCCTTTCCATAGACTATGTATTCCATAAGTGACATCTGTCTCTTTTGTTCTCTGATGTCTCTCCAGCATATAGCATGACCCTGGAACACTTAACAGCTAATTAATTTTTTTTTTTTAAAAAAAAAACAACAGTAAATGTTCAACCAAAGTTTACAGTGTAGAAAACTTGCAAAGCCCTTTGCAGACTAACTCTAGGCCTGACATCTCAAGTGCTCCCTGTGGATAGAGTCATAATTTGCCCCAGGACCACACGGCTGATTGGCAGGGCTCACTCACCCTCCTGGAAGTTGGCTTGGGCATGCCGAAGACTATGAGGAACCAGGATCCCGAACCAGTTCAGGGGGTCCTGAGGCACTGCAGAGAGCTCTGGCTCTGGAGTCTGGGAGAGGCCCTTGCGCTTTCTCAGAGCTGGTAAAAGAAAGGCAGGTGGGTGGGCATTTACTTGCTGGCCCTTGTCTTCTTGGTGACAGTGATGAAAGTTCTGACTCTTATGATTCCAAAATACAGCGAAATCCCAACAATCTTTTGTGTTCCAAGAAACAGCTTACTGCAAAGATCACCTTTCCCCATATGGCTTAAATAAGACTGTCCACTCTTTCTCATGATTCCCTGAAGACTCACCGATGACCCCCTTGTTTACCTATGACATGGCAAAATCACAAACTTTTCCCCTTTTGCCTGAACTTGCTGAAACGTCAGACACAGACCCTCTAACTCCCTGTTTTTTGCTTTATGAGTGATTAACTGAGATTAGAAGTCTGTCCCTTTTAAAGAATCTATATACAGAGATAATAAACCTTTTCTGTACAGCTGAGACTTCTAGAATTGAAGAACATTCCCAATTTTGATTTTCTGATTTGGGGCGCTCCCTCTATCGCAACAGACTGAATTAAAAGCATCTCCTTAATTGTCCTAGGCATTATGTTTTCGACCTTGGGACGCCCTATCTGGAACGGTTGGGCGCTCACCTGGCTCGCGGGGACCCACTTCCTCTGGGATCTGGGCGACGGCTCTCACCATCCACAACTTCTGGAGTCCATCCTGGGGCTCACTGAAGAATAAAAGAGGATGGATTCTTAGCGGCCTCGCTCCTTCCCCCCACCTCTCCTGTTCGAACCTAGCCTCGGCATCCATGGTTCCTCACCTGGTGCGGACACAGCAATGAGGCTCCATGCGGGAAGCATACTGCAGAGGCCCTACTGACTTGGCACCCATGGCATAGCGAGCCCTAGAAAGCAACAGCCAACCCTGAGGAGAGAAAGGAGAGCGGTGAGCCTATTTATCTCCGTGTGGCCACTTGCCCGCCCACTCCCCGCAGGCCCCCACCTCTTCCACTCGGGCGTTCAGGACAGCCCGCTTAGCCTCTAGCTCCTCCAGGTCCCGGAGCATCTGCAGTAGCAACATGTCCAACTCGGCCCTTAGGTCTGATCCCGCCATGAGCTACACAAACAAGCTCTTTTGGAGCCGGAGTCCTTCCGGGTCGCACAATCACCGCACGCCGGTAGATAACAGCCAATCAGAGCATGAGACCTTTAGAGGGCGTTTCCAGCTGCAGCTTTCAGTGAAGAGCTAGCGTTCAGTCAGGGAGTACCGGAAAGCCAAATTTGCAAGTGTGTGGATCAGTTCTGGAAGGAAGCTAGCCAGCCGCCTATCGGCTTGGGCTGGGGTGATTCCGAGTCGCTTACGGACGCTTACGGAAACGTTAGTATTTTAAAGTCTGGCAACCGCTGTGAGTATGGAAGAGACAATGTGTAGGAGCAGTTTTGATTAAGGGAGGTGAGGCCTTGAACTTAATTCCAGCGATTGACCCCCTAGTTAGTCGCTGTGCCGCTTTTACAATCGTTGGATTTTGCCTCTAATTGTGATTATTTTAAGCGGTTCGCCGTCTTAAAATTAGGCATCCCACAAACTTACAGCAGGTAGTGCTGCAACAGGTAGACATTTTACTAATGGTTGGCCTAAACCTCGTGACAACCTAGGTATTGGCTTCTTCGGTGAGCACGCGCTGCCGGACTGGCCAATTGCCTTGCAACACCCTCCGCTGCTCGCCATCTTAACTTTGGGCATTGTCGTAGGCAACAGGCAGTACTGAAGTCTCTAGCGACCTTGTTGGTTGAGGGCGGAAGAGAGGGACTGCATTCGGCTGGCGAACACTGTAAATTCCTCTAAACCCACGTGGGAGTGGCGTTCAAGATGGTAGGAGGAATGCTTCTTTTTGGTGGCTAGGGGCTCCCAGAGGGCTGGGGATGTGGCTTATGGACTTGGGAGCGGTGGGCCCTGGGATCCGGGAGGAGAGGAAGATAAAGGGGCTGACCCATTTTGCTTTGTCACAGCTGCGCCGCGAAGCTCGCCTGCGCCGCGAATACTTGTATCGCAAGGCCCACGAGGAAGCACGGCGAGCCGCCTGCGAGAGGAAGGAGAGGCTCCGGCGCGCGCTTGAAGGTACAGCCGCCTCAACCGGGAAGCGAGTTAGTTATACCCTTTAATATATGGTCACTATTAAGTCGGAATGAACTCGAATGACAGTGGGTTCAAGACAGAGTAGAACTGCCCCCATCATATTCTGTAATCTCCACACCTTTTGTCATGGAGCAGCTGGTGGGTTCAAACCGGAGTACTTTCGGTTAGCAGCCAGGTTCTTTACCAGTGTGCCACCAGGACTCCTAACCACAGTTGTTAAAAAACAAACCAAACGCACTGTCATCCAATTAATTCCAACTCATAGCGACTAGTAGAACAGAGTAGAATTGCCTCTCAGGGTTTCCAGGAATGTAAATCTTTACAGAAGCAGGCTGTCTACTCTTTCCATGTTTCTTCTGGGGAGAGGTGGTGGGTTGCCGCTGCTGATTTTAGCAACCTAATGTCTTAACCACTGCGACCTCAGAGCTCCTTAACCACAGGTATACAAAAAAAAAAAAAAAAACAAACCCACTGTCATCCAGTAGATTCTGACTCATGGCGACCTCTATTGAGTTTCCCAAGCCATAAATCTTTACAAAATAGATTGCCTCATTTTCTTCCCACCAAGCAGCAGCTGATAGGTTTGAACCACTGACCTTTTGGTTAGCAGCCAGATGTTACCTGCTAGGCCCACCAGAGCTCCCTAACCACAGGTACAGGGGTTGGGATTTACAACACATATTTTGAGGGGGCACAATTCAGTCCATAACATCCACTTCCCAGTGGTGAGGACTGAGCTTGTTTTCAACTGGGTATAGTTAGGAAGGACTGCTGCTGTGAATGAGGGTTGAAGGTATAATGGAGGGAGATGTTAGATCCTGAGAGAGTATGCTTTTCTTCAGTTCAACTCTATACAGTGATGTCAAAGATTTCCCAAAGTAATCATGCCCACAGCCTGGTCACTCTCACCCAGAGCATGCCCTGGCCATGCTCCTTGTAGCATTCTGTGCAACATGGTTGCTGGAGGGTGTAAGGGTATCTGGAAAATCCGCTTCCATAGAGATACGACCTTGGAAACCCAAGGAGGGGTAGCTATGAGTGGGAACCTACTCAATGCAGTGAGTTTTTTGGGTAGCATAATGCCTAAGGCGTTTGACTCCTAACTGGAAGGCTGGCAGTTCAATTTCACCAGTCACTCCTCGGAAGGAAGGTTGGGCAACCTACTTCCCTAGTGATACCACCTAGGAAACGCAAGGAAGGGTCGCTATGAGTCGGATTTGACTTGACGGCACTGATAAAAGAAAAGAACGTGAAAATGTATAAAGACCAAAGTTTATTAGTAGTTACTGGGACTGGGAGATTGGGTGGGAGGGGAGGAGGTGTTGATTCTTATGGAGTAGTGAGTTTCTCTTTGCAGTGATGGAAAACTCAAATTGATAAGGATAGGTTTGTGCAGTCGATCAGCGTAATTGCAGTCAATAAGTTGTACATCTTGTAAAAAGTTGAATGGATCTTAAAAGTTGTATGATAGATAATATTTTTAAAATGACGCCCCATTGGGAAGCTGCTTAACTACAATCAAAAGCCTCATGGCATTTGGTTTCTTAGTTTGGCGGTTTAGGGTCATGGTGTCATGAGACTTCCCACTTAATGAGCCTAATAATGTGTTTAGTACTTGGTTCTGTATGTTGAGGCATTATCCATAGTGAAGGCTGTAGTAGTATTTGATCTTCATCTGTAAGTGCTTCTAGTCTTCTTTACTTTCAGTAGGCAAGCTTGAGTCGTTTGCATATCATGGGTTATTAATAAGTCTTTCTCCAATCCTGTTGCCGTGTTCTTCTTCGTATAGTCTAGCTTCTCTGATTATTTGCTTTGCATAGAGATTGAATAAGTATGCTGAGGTACACAACCCATACACATACCTTTCCTGACTTTAGATCAGTCAGTATCCCCTTGTTCTGTTTGAATGGCTGCCTCCTGGTCTGTGTACAGACCTCATAAGTATAGTTAAGTATTCTGGCATTCCCATTCTCTACAATATCATCCATAATTTGTCATGATCCACACTGTTGAATGCCTTTGTATAGTCAAGAGAACAGGTAAACATCTTTCTGGTATTCTTTGCTTTCATCCAAGATCCGTCTGATATCAGCACATTCTCTTCTGAATCCAGCTTGAATTTCTGATGGTTCCCTGTCAATGTACTACTGCAACCATTTTTTAATTACCTTCAGCAAAATTTTACTTAATGTGATACTGTTGATATTTAATATTTCCTCATTCTCTTGGATTACATTTCTTTGGAATAGGCACAAATATGGATCTTTTCCCATTAGTTGGCCAGTAGCTGTCTTCCACACTTCTTGGCATAAATGAGTGAGCACCTGCAGCACTGCATCCATTTGCTGAAACATCTCACTGGGTATTCTGTCAATTCCTAGAGTCTTTTTTTTTCCCCAAAAATTCCTTCAGTGCAGCTGAGACTTCAGTGCCATCAATTCTTGATCATATGCTCCCTCCTGAAATGTTGAACATTGACCAATTTTTTTTGGTATTGTAACTGTATTCTTTCCATCTTCTTTTGATGCTTCATACATCATTCAATCTTTAGCCCACAGAATTCTTCAGTATCTCAACTTGGGGCTTGAATATTTTCCTCAGTTCTTTCAGCTTGAGAAATGCCAAGCATGTTCTTCTCTTTATTTTCTAAATCCAGGTCTTCGCACATTTCATTATCATCCTTTATTTTGTCCTCTGGGGCTGTGCTTTGAAATCTTCTGTTCAAGTCTTTTTACTTCATCATTTTTTCTATTGATGTTAGCTACTCTTCATTCAAGAGTTTCTTTCTCTTATGGCAACATTTTGGTCTTCTCTTCGTTTGCTGTCTTTTTAATGATGTTTTGCTTTTTTTCATGTGTAATGTCCCTGATGGCATACCACAACTTGTCTGATCTTTGATCACTAGTGTTTAGTGCATCAAATCTTACCTTCAGATGGTCTCTAAATTCAAGTGGGATATAGTCAGTATCATATTTTGGCTCTTACGAACTTGTTTTGATTTTCTTCAGCTTCAGCTTGAACTTGCATATGAAGAATTGATGGTCTTTTCCATGGTTAGTCACTGGCCTTGTTCTAACTGATGATACTGAGAGTTTCAATCAAACAAGAGGCTACCATTCCAACAGAACAAGGGGTTGCTGAATGGTTTAAAATGAGGAAGGGTGTGCATTAGGGATGTATCCTTTCCCATTCTTACTTACTGATACTACAGTCTTCAGTATGGATTGCATCTCAACTTAAAGAAAACAGAAATGCTCACAACTGAGCCAATAAGCAACACCACAATAAAGGGAGAAAAAATTGAAGTTGTCAGGGATTTCATTTTGCTTGGATCCACCAATTAACACCTGTGGAAGCAGTAGTCAAGAAATCAGACATCTTATTGTGCTGGGAAAATCTGCTGCAAAAGACCTGTTTAAAGTGTTAAGGAGCAAAGATGTCACTTTGAAGACAAAGGTGCACCTAAGCAAAGCCATGGTATTTTTAGTTGCCCTATATGTGTGTGAAAGCTGGACAGTGAATAAGGAGGACAGGAGAAGAGTTGATGCCTTTGAATTGTGGTAGTGTTGAAGAATACTGCAAATACTATGGACTGCCAGAAGAATGAACAAATCTGTCCTGGAAGAATTGCAGCTGGAATTCTCCTTAGAAGTGAGAATGGCCAAGCTTCATCTCACCTACTTTGGTCACATTGTCAGAAGGGACCAGTCTTTGGAGAAAGATATAATGCTTGGTAAAGGAGAGGATCAGCGAAAAAGGGGAACAACGATCAATGAGATGGATTGTTACATGGTGGCGTCAGCTATGGGCTCAAGCATAGCAAAGATTGTGAGGATGAGGCAGGCCCAGGCAGTGTTTTGTTCTGTTGTACGTAGGTTCACTGTGAGTTGGAGCTGACCTGACAACACCTAACAACAATAGCAGCATAGTCAATTTCTACAGATGGAGTAGATTTGATTTCTGTGTATTCCATCTGGCAATGTCCATGTGCATAGTCACCATTTATGTTGTTGAAAACAGGTATTTGCAATGGGTAAGTTGTTGGTCATGCAAAATGGTATCATACAATTTCCAGCATTTTTTCTGTGACCAAGGCTGTATTTTCCAGTTAGTGATGATGCTTCTTTGTTTTTAACTTTCTCATTCCAATCACTGGTTATTGTCAATACATCCTGATTGCATGTTCGGTCAGTTTCTGATATTAGAAGTTGGTAAAGATCTTCAGTTTCTTCCTCTTTGGCTTTAGTGGTTGGTGCATAAATTTGACTAATAGTCATATTAACTGGTCTTCATTGGAGGTGTATGGATATTCTATCACTGACAGCATTGTACTTCAGGATAGGTCTTGAAATTTTTTGATGATGAATGTGATGCCATTCCTCTTTAATTTGTCATTCCTAACATAGTAGACCATAGGATTGTCCAATTCACAATGGCCACTACTAGTCAGTTCAGTTTACTAATACCTAGGATATTGATCTATGTGTGTTCTATTACATTTTTCACAACTTACAGTTTTCCTAGACTAATTCTCTACATTCTGTATTGTGATTATTAGTGCATGCTTACAGCTGTTTTTCCTATTTAAAGTCGTGGCACATCAGCAAATGAAGATCCCAAAAGCTTTGTTCTGCCCAAATCATTAAGGTCTACTGTACCTAGGGCAGCTCTTCCCCAGTTGTATTTTGAGTGTCTTCCAAGCTGGGGAGTTCATCTTCTAGCACTGTATCACACAGTGTTTCCCTGCTGTTCATAAGGTTTTTAGTGACCAGTTTTTATTTCAGAAGTGGACCTGGCAGTGTCCTCCTTCCTAGTCTGTCTTAGTCTCCACCATGGGTGACCTTGCTGGTATATAGCAACCTTAGAGAACAATGAGTTAATGTTAATGGGGGAGGAACAACTCAGAAAAGGAGGCTGAGCATGGTTGTGTAGCTAAAAGAATATGTTGTTGTTCTTGTTGTTATGTGCCGTCGAGTCAAACCCGAGTCATAGCGACCCCTCCTTGGGTTTCCGAGGCAGTATCACTACGGAAGTAGGATTGCCCAACCTTCCTTCCGAGGAGTGGCTGGTGGGTTTGAAACGCCAGCCGTCTGGTTAGCAGGCAAGTGTCTTAGCCACTGTGCTACCAGAGCTCCTAAAAGAATATAGTATCACTGAATTGTACAGGTGGAAAGCGTAAAATAGGTGTGTTTTGCTGTGTATATTAGCAACGACAAAATAAAAATTATTTTAAAAAATTTATTTGTTAATCTTTTCTGGCTGAAAGCAATATATACTTAAAGTATTTTAGAGATTCTTTAAATCATGAGCATTAAGAACCATGAGAAATGAAAGTCCTTGTAACCACTGTTAATAGATTGGCGTATAAGTAAAATAAGATATTCTCCTATCCTTTACTCCCATTATGTATCATTGCTATACTCAGAAAGGAGTAAGAAAGATATTTTTTATCAAGTTTTTTTGTGTGTAAGCCATGGAGAGTTATGTAAACTGAGAGCTCAATGCTCCTTCTCTATCTTCCCCCTACAGAGAACCGCTTGATTCCCACTGAGTTACGCCGGGAGGCTCTAGCCTTACAGGGATCCCTGGAGTTTGAAGATGCTGGTGGTGAAGGTGACTATGTGTGTAGTGCTTTCTGACCCCATGAACCAACTCCCTTCTCTATACTTCCACACTCTTGTTTCCAAGTCCTTCACTAGACATGCCCAGTGATTTTCTACTTTTTTACTCTCTGTTAATTTGGGGAGAATGGCTCTTGGGACCCATTTTCCAAGAACTCTCACAGTTCTGTGTAGACATCACTCCCCACATGCAGCTCTCCTGTCTTCTCTCAACTCCATTGTAATGATACATATGATAATACTCTATTTATTCTATTCTTTGCTTTGTCTGTTAATTTTCTTCCTACTAGAACGTGAGCTCTGCAGAGAAGGGCAGGATAAGTCCATTTTGTTCTCTAGTCCTTCACTGGCACTCAAATGTTTGATTGTTTTATTCAATAATCAAAGAAATTACTAAAGCTCTGGCCTTGGTTAAGTCTAAATTTGTACTGTTTATTATGGTAGCCATTAGCTCCATGTGACTGTTGTAATTTAACTAAAATAAAATTGAGAATTCCATTCCTTAGTTGCACTAGCCACATTTTAAATACTTGATAACCTCCTGTGGCTTGTGGGTGCCTTACTGCACAGTACAGGTATGGAGCATTTCCATCATTGAAAGTTTTGTGGAGCAGCACTACTCTGGATAAATTCACCCACCATTGAATTAGCATTTTGCTTCCTAAGACAATAACATGTTCTCACTTCTCATGCTCCTGATAGGTGTAACCAGCCATGTAGATGATGAATATCGATGGGCAGGGGTTGAGGATCCCAAGATCATGATCACCACTTCCCGAGACCCCAGTTCCCGCCTCAAGATGTTTGCAAAGGTACTAGTAGGAGGAAGTGGGAGACATTAAGGCAGGAATTGACCAAGTAGATTTACCTGTCTGTTCTTGGGATGTACCGTGACAAACATGTTCATATGCAGGAGCTAAAGCTGGTGTTCCCAGGTGCACAGCGCATGAACCGAGGCCGGCATGAGGTGGGTGCACTGGTGCAAGCCTGCAAAGCCAATGGAGTCACTGACCTGCTGGTTGTTCACGAGCACCGGGGCACTCCTGGTGAGCCTTGGCGGGAGGGTGAAAAGGCATAAGACAGGTGCTCTGAGTACACACAGGTTTTCTGACAGCCCATTTGGCCCTACCAGTGGGGTTTATTGTCAGCCACCTGCCCTTTGGCCCCACTGCATACTTCACACTATGCAATGTCGTCATGCGGCATGACATCCCTGACCTGGGTACTATGTCAGAAGCCAAGCCTCATCTCATCATGCATGGATTCTCCTCCCGCCTAGGCAAGCGGGTAAGTTTGGGGGCTCTGGGTGAGGGTGGGGGGTAGGCCTGGCCAGGCATCACCACTTAATTCTGCCCCAGGTCTCTGACATCCTGCGGTACCTGTTCCCTGTGCCCAAAGATGACAGCCGCAGGGTCATCACCTTTGTAAACCAGGATGACTACATTTCTTTCCGGTGAGTTCATGGGCTGGGCCCCCAGTGATTACATTTTCAACTTTGGGTCCCTTGTATGTTTTCTGTGACCCACAGCTGCTCCTACCCCTCATCTTAGGCACCACATCTATAAGAAGATGGACCGCCACAACGTGGAGCTGACTGAGGTTGGGCCTCGCTTTGAGCTGAAGCGTGAGTCTGGGTCTTTATTCCACATCTCAGTTAGGAAAGGGAAGGAGTAGCTGGCTGTGTGAGTGCTCATATCCCTTCTTCTTCACCCTCCAGTGTACATGATTCGCCTGGGCACACTGGAGCAGGAGGCCACAGCTGATGTTGAGTGGCGCTGGCACCCATACACCAATACTGCACATAAGAGGGTCTTCTTGAGTGCTGAGTGAACCCTGCTTGTTGGTCGGGGACATGGACTTGGAACCCAAAAGGTGGATTATCACAGACCCATGAAGCTGTAGATATGGATTCTGTAGGAGGGATGAAGAAGCCAAATTAAACCCTCTGTGTCATGTTGCCCCCTGTCTACCTCTTAGTGGGTCAGAAAAGGGCCCTAGGCATGGCTGATTCTTAAGGCATAGTTTGGTGGATCCCCCTAGGGTATGGGAGCCTAATGGGTATGGACATACTTGGGCCTGGTATTGGTGAGGGGATTGAGATCAGTTTGAGCCTGGGGTTTGCACTTTTGTTTGGAATAAGGCAGTCTTAGTGTCAGGCTTGCCCTTTGGTCACAGGGAAGGCCTGGTGCAGCCCCTTTGGATTTTTGGTTCTAATATAACTTTAGGAGCCAGGGGCCCTGCGATAGCTCATTGAGGAATCAGAGTTGGACATAGGTCATGCCAGGTGCATTTCTGAGTGAATGAGTGTAAGCCGTCAGGAGAGTGCAAGGTAAGAGATGTGGCCTGGCTTAGTTTCAGGCAAGTGGGCTTGGCAGGACAGCTGAGGTATGCCTTGCTTTTTCCTCAAGACCACCTATGTGCATTTTCTGTCCATTTACTGGGGGCACAGTGGGAACCATGCACTATACACACTCCAATCTCTCAGAAAGAAATCTGCCAGAGGTCACACAAAGAAAGGCGAGTATAGCCCAAGAGAGGCTGTAGTCTTCTCCCTTCTTCCTTCTATTTGCCTGTATTGATTGTGTTCCAAAGGGCCCTAAGTTTGACACAAAGTGGTTTTCAGCACCCTGCAGAATGCATATGACTTTTCATGGATTGTTGTTATGTGCCGTCGAGTCGGCCCTGACTCATAGCGACCCCTCCTTGGGTTTCCGAGGCAGTATCACTACGGAAGTAGGATTGCCCAACCTTCCTTCCGAGGAGTGGCTGGTGGGTTTGAACCGCCAGCCGTCTGGTTAGCAGGCAAGTGTCTTAGCCACTATGCTACCAGAGCTCCCTTTTCATGGATGGGAGTGATAAAAAATAAATACATCACATCAGGTAGAGCTAAGAGCTGTGAAGAAAAAGATGGGTAGGTGGTGGGGATGAGGAATGGGAGTGTCCTTTCTGCACTGAAAGAGCCAAATGATACTGTGAGGCAGTAAAGGCCGCCTAGGTGGCTTGAGGGAGAAAATTCCAGGCAAAGGGTACAACCCATGCAGAGGCCCTATGGGCAACAGTGCTCATAAGGGTTCCAGCAATAGGACTCAGTTGTGGGGTAGGAGGGAGAAAGGCAGGCAGGGGTCCTCCTGGCCACAGCCTTCAGGGAATGTAGGAGATAAGACGTCATGGGATCTTTAACCTTTTCTGGCTCTCTTTTTGTCCCGGTATTTCTGCAGAGCATTCCACAACCTCTGCCAGCTTCCCACAGGCTCACTCCATCCTCACTGAAGAATATGCCATTACATGCTCTTTGTAAATTACAGAAATTTCCAAACACGTAAAAGTAGAATAGTATGATGCCCTGTATTAGTTCCTATGGCTGCTGTAACAAATTACCACAAACTTGGGTGCCAAAGGGCCAGCAAGCTGCATCTTTGGACCACTTCTAACTCCACAAGAGGAAGATAGAATCACCATGAGCAGCCCAAGGCCTATTCTTGCAAGGCCAGACATGCTGCTTCCCACCAACCCTTGGCAATAACCATTCCTCCCACAGCACCCACCACCTCTCTGCTGGGTTTGATAATTCTCTGCAGTGGCCACACACAGCTCACAGATTATGAGGTTTATTAGGGAAGCAACAGGCTCCAATTCAAGTTCAGAAATGTACTCAGTCTCTTGCAGCTGGCCAATGCACTTAGCATCTGGCAGACTCTCTCAGGAGCACGTGTGTCTAGTGTCTCTCTCAGCAAGTGTGTGTCCTCAGCTGGCAGTGAGAGATTCCTTCTGCTTCTAGGAGGGCTCCTTTTAAGCCTGGCAGAGTGGCCAAACTAACCAGTCCCAACATCAGAATTATATACACCTGAGAGAAAGTGAACCTCTCAGAAGATTGCTTCCTGCCACTCAGCAGAAAAGACTTATGACTGGAAAAGCCACACTGTGTAATTTACTACACCACACTTGGTACATTAAAACAACACAAATCTATTCTCTCATAGTTCTGAAGGCCACAAATCTGAAATCAAGATGTCTGTAAGGCTACACTTCCTAGTTATCCAAAGGACAGTCTGCTCCATGCTTCTCTTCTACTTTCTGGTGATTACCAGCAATCCTTGGCATTCATTGACATAAAGCTCTTTCACTATATCTCTGCCTCTGACCATTGCTTCCTTCTCTTCAGTCAAATCTCCCTTCTGTGTCTCTTACAAAGACATATGCAAAAATAATTTATTTTAGAAGCATTAGCACAAGGCTGGTCCCTATGAGGAGAAGGTTAAAGATGTTTCAAATGTTGATATTTTTTCCAAACTGCTATAGCACTTTATTATCTCTCACATCAACTCTTCCTCCTCCTCCCCTCAGTACTGCCCTTCTTGTTTTAGGTGCCATCAAGTTGGTTCCAACTTGCAAATGCAAAAACGACAAGGAGGCCACATGTTCTGACCTCCTCTAACCCTACAAGGGGAAGGCAGGATTACCAGCAGTAACCCAAGGCCTATTACTGCAAGGCCAGACATGCTGCCTCCCTC